GATGGGGGAGCAGGGTTAGCTTCCTTGCTCACCCCAACACTTCATGGATTTCCCAGCTGCTAGTAAGGCTGCCCTATGGGAACAATAATGTTGTCCCCATGCCCTGGTGCTTTGTGACACCCCCTTTGCTCTGGGTCTGAAGCATTGCCTTGCTCAGAGAAGATACTGAGTCAGCAATTAAGGGCACTGTTGGATAGGTTAATTAGAGGGAACTTGATCCCAGCTGAGTTAATAGGGATGTAATTCACTTCTGTCTTGGTGAATTAAATTTAAATTAGAGTCCATTGAACCGAATGCTCACCCTTCCGGCACCTGCTGGAAGAGGAGTGGGTGCCTTTCATATCCTGAGACTTCAAATAAGACCAGACCTCTTTCATGGGTTTTGCTCAATTGAAAAATAATGCCTAGATGGCACATAACAACAACAACAACAACAAGCAGAATTCTGTTAGGACCTCTGGTGGTGTAGTGGGTAAAGCATTCGGCTGCTAACCAAACATGGGGGTTCGAACCCACCAGCTTCCATAAAGATTAACAGCCTTGGAAACCCTATGGGATAGTTGTATTTCAACCTAAACAGTCACTATGAATCAGAACTAACTGGGTAGCAGTGGGATGGGTTAAAACAGAGTTCCATCATTCCAAATTATTAATCATTGATTATCCAAACTCTTGACAGATGAAGCAGCTTTGGTGAAAGGAGCTAAAAAGCTGGGCTTTGTCTTCACAGCCAGAACGCCATACTCAGTCATCATAGAAGCAGTAAGTGACAGACCTGGGCCTGTCCCCACAGTTCAGCTTTGTCTATTCCTTTGAAGAATATATGTTTGAAATAGCATGCCATTTGTAAATGTAACTCAGTTTCTGTGAGAAATCAGATCTGTTGAAAAATGAGTTATGTGATTCTACTAGTTTATTTGTTTTATTGTTACTTTTGCTTTACAGTCATTTATATTGTTTTTGCATTGCAGTAATTTCTCTCAGTAGGAGCTCTGGTGGTTCACTGGTTAAAGTACTGGGATACCAGCCAAAAGGTTCAAACTCACCAGTGGCTCCAGGGGAGAAAGATGAGCCGATCTGCTTCCATAATGGTTTATAGCCTTGGAAACCCTATGGTACAGTTCTGCTCTGTCCTAGAG